CAGTCAACTAAACAGCCTCAGGGGGTCCTGACATTAGGCATTCTGTTTGCCAGCCTTAAGGCTCTATGGTTAACTAGATGGACAGGGAAGCTGCAGGCCAGATGTACAGTATTTTTGTAATTTACAGTTGGATGTATTTATTCCTGGAATAGAGGCAGAGAGCATATACACATATTAGCAATGCTGAATGGATTACTTATAAGCATCTTCATCTTCAAATCATAAACTAAGGAAAGAGGGAACAGAAGGCTTGGAAACATTATGTTGCAGCTAATGATATGTTACATCATTTGTTGTACATGTAAATACTTTTTTTTCTCTTTTAATCAAAACCTCAGGCATGTATGCTACTAACTAAAACTGCATGTGAATATGTTATTGTTCAAACCTGCAAATTCTTATGTAGCTATCATGAGAGCTTCATTATTGGATATATTATTTAGTACATCTTTGTATACACACACACACACACACACACACACACACACACACACACACAGAAAAGAAAAGTCTCAGAAAAGACTGTGTCTGACATTGTTCCCACATTCACAAAAAAATGTTGTTAGCTCGTCATCCACATCAGTCCTGAAGACAGTGGATATTTTCCTGTGTTTTATTTCCAGATCATTTATTCATTTAAGTGATCAAAGAAAAGTCATCAAATCTGCCCATCTGTCCATCCATTCAACCATCCATCTCTAGAAAAAAACAACTAAAAAACCCTCCAAGTATCCATTTATTTGATTAATTCCCCTTTCATCTTCATGGCCTGTCACAAAGCTTTGTCTGTGTTGTACATCTATCTTCCCTGCTGGCAGAATTTGGATTCAGTCTGTGCTTTACCTGAGTTGGATGTCCTTCATGTGCCTCATCGATCCCCAGTCAACTGAGACCATTGACTTTTTCCCTCTAATGAGAGAGGAGGTCAACGGCTTGCAAAGCTGTTTCAGATCTGGATATTATTTATACAAACACAATCACACACACGTGCCAAGTCATGCTCACCTGACACACACACACACACACACACACACACACACACACACACACACACACACACAAACACACACACATGCACAGTCATGTGCACACAGGCTGCCAACAGAAAGTTTACAGCTGGGTTCTCTTCAATGAAGTGAGAGCTTCTGTCTGAGTAGACGCCAAACACATTTGTCCTTTTGTCACAACATTATTTTGAATCTCAGTATCTCAAAATATTCAGTTTCTCTCAACTAAACCCATCAATATCTTTGCACTTAATAATAAGAAGGTTCAGTTTTCATGACATGAGTTACGAATTAGTCTGAGCCATTGCTGATAGGCATTGGACACGGAGCGATTATTACTTTTTGATTTGAATCGGATGATGTCAGCTATCAATCACAGGACACAAACCCGAACAAATACGGTGAATAACAAGATAATTTCCCCAGGCAGTATGCATGGATGTGGTGTTGATGGTAAATCCATGAGTCACGGCATAGATTATCCATGCGTGAAACATCATTGTAAGACAGTGTGAGACAGTGTGAGGCGCTGTGAGCACAATGATCTGAAAATATGAAAAGCAATACGAGCGATTTCACACTGGAATAATATATGAGCTGAATGACTCATCACAGACAATATCACATTTTTACAAAAAAAATCTCACTAAAAAATCTCAATTATTATTTTCACACTCCGTATTGACATAGCATCTGACCTCAGCACATCATTAACTTCGTATTAAAACCACAGAAATGAATGAACGGATTTATGGCGAGCGCTTGTCTGAGCAGCATGCTAGTATGCAATTGCTATTCAGCACAGTAAGACTAGCGTGTTATTGGCTGTGCACTGATGGCCCACTGTGTAATGGCGTGTGTGGTGCCATTACTGTGTGTAATTGTGAGATAGTGTGTATATGTGTGTATGCGGTGTGGTGAAGAGTTTACTGCCTGCACGGATTTATTTGAATGTGTTTTTTTTTGTAATTTTGTGCCTGTGTGCACAGGCATTTACAGTGTATTAGTGAGATGAGCGCTCACAGTTGTGTTGGGTAATCAGTTAGGTGTGCATATGTTTGTGTTTCCAGCAGCGATCAATATTATTGCTGAAAACTGTAAATTTTCATTTCTCCTCAGGGTAAACCTTCTGGTTCAGCTGTAAAGTAAATTTTCCCCCTCAGCTTCATGTTACTGACCCTCTCTGCTAAATTCATCAAGGTAAGCAGTAGTCTTAGGCTGAAAACCGGCAACATCAACACTTTAACCGAATCATAAATATATGGCAGTTTTTTTGTTTTCAACCTTGCTTTTGTTGCTAGAAATTACATTTATATAAAACTAATTTGCATCAGCAAATAGGAAATACAATGCTATTAAGAAAATGTATTGTAATCTGCAAACTGTTGATGATTATGTTTAGGCAACTCAAAGTAACTGTTTAAGTTTAGGGAGAGGTGTGGTTGTGGTTAAATGTTGAAAAAGTCAGTGACTCGAAGCACAAGATGGGATGTGTTGTTGCAATGCTGGTCTGTTGGTTGGTCCAGACTCAAATCTCAGGCACATATGTTCTTGCTCTGCGGAGGATGAATCCTAATGACTTTGGTCATCACTTGACGTTTCCTCTAGCACCACCAGCAGATTGAATTTTCCACTTATTCAGTGAAATATCTCAAAATCTGCTAGATCGACTGACAAAATATTGTACATATATTCATGGTTCCCCTCAGGATGAACTGTAATAATTATAATAACTATCATCATAACTGACTGGCTGGTTAATTTGTCCAGTGCTTTGGTTTATGACCAAATACCTGCAAAACTAATGGGATTCCCTTCAGCTGTACTTTGTGGTTAGTGCTAATTAGCAAATATTAGCAAATGTTAGCATGCTAACAAGCTAGACTAAGTGGTGATGATGCTTAACATAGAAAACATTGCACCTACTAAACATCAGTATGTTAGCGTTGTGATTGTGAGCATGTAGTCATGTTAGCATTTAGCTCAAAGAACCATAATTCATACTTCAAGCATCAGTATTTAACCAAAACAACAAACTTTCCCAACCTTAACCAAATGTGTTTGAGGCCTGAACCTCACAACACATCGGATGCAAGACATGCACCCCGTGTCTCTGGTGTCAAAGTCCTTTGCTTTGTACACCCAACCTTCCACTATGACCTCTACCCTATGACTTCCGTGCAATATATGTTTAAAAAATTAGAAGTGAACATAATCCAGACAGAACTAATTTCTACTCCAATCCAGTGTTCGGCAAAACATATTAGTATTATCTAGTGAACAAAATGGTTGTTTTCATGAACAGATTTTGAGCAGGTAGCAGAGTCAGATGCAGCACAAGAGAAGGCAGGTGAATAACTAGCAAAACATAAGCAGGTAGGCTGTGAGAGGAAGGAGAGAGTAACATGCTGACACCTTGACAGACAGAGACAGGTAGATGGGATGATTTATAAAGAGGAGTCAGTGAAGAATCGGAACGATAAAATATGGAGGGAAAGAGTTGATTGAATAGAGTGAATTACAGTGAGACAGTGAGTTATGAAAGAGAGACGGAGGGAGACGCAAATAGAATGAGATGAGAAGAGAGATGGTGAGGCGGGATGGATGATGGAGGGAGAGAGAGGAGTGGAGGCAGAGGGTAAAAGGCAGAGATGGGGAAAGACTGAGATTAGGATGGGTAATCCTGGCGGGTCTAAAAGCTGAGCTTTTAAAATTTGGGTTAATACCCCAAAACCTTTTGTTTTGTCCTTGTGTTCCCTGTAATGTGTGTGTGTTAGTGTGTGTATTGGGGGGAAACACAGACATGAAGAGAAACTGCATGGCCATTTCTCTTTACCTCAGTTAATGTGTTCAAATCTATAAAATCTTCTGTTTTTTGACTATTCTGCACACATTCTAACTGTGTCATTGTCTTTCTCTTTGTGACAGAATCTCTCTATCTTTTCATCTTTAGTTCTCCTCAGCCTCAGACCAGATCATCCATCTCTCACTCAAGCATGCAAACGCAATGCAATTAGTTGTTTTGCAGAGAAACAACTGGCCTACATTTCTAATTGACTCGAGAAAGCCTTGCACAGAAGCGTGAAGAACAGTGGATAAGCAAACAGCACAAATCTGACCTGAATTACAAAATGCAATGAGCTCGCTCAGCCTCATTTATAAAAATAAGGACTTTGACCTCAGCTGTAATGTCTTGTTAATGTGTAAAAAAATAAAAACACTTTTTGTTTTAATTCAGCATTCTGACATCAATAGCTCATTATATATGACATTGGTAACATTATTGTTAATTAGTAAGGCCAAATCAAATCCCCAAGGACATTAACAGCCTTTGCCAACCGTTGTATTACGTTTTAAGAAGTCTGATGGCAGTTTGAGTTGTGACATTTGATATTTTGTTAGTGGCAGATGATGGACAGAGTATAAAATCACTTCCAACTTGTTAATTCTATTCAATTAAGCAAAATGGATGGTCAAAATATGCCTTACTTCTTTTCAATCAATAAGAAAGCTAAATGTGGAATTTAAATACAGTTTTTCTAGTTCTTCTACAGGAGCAAATTTCCATCTGTGAGGAAGTTACAGTTATTGGATGCAGTAGAGTTACTGTCTCCTCCTGTTGCCTGTGTCAATGGGTTTGTGTTTGATTGGGTGTTTGTTTATCAGGTTGGCTTAAAGTAACCCTGATACTGCTATGGTTTGTGGAGATTAAAGACAGGATTTAATATAATAGCAGCGTATCAGAAGGATTAGAGTGATATTTCATTCACTCTTCTCAAAGATAAAAATAGCAAGAAAGCATGCCGTCTCTGCAGGTGTGTTTACCGACTGCAGAGGACTGACAATGTCAGATTACAACACCTATCTTAGCACATTTGACAACAGGAAACAGGAAAAATAAAAATCTAAAACAAAGACAAGAACAAAATCTAAAAAGAACAAAAAAAAAAGGTCACAACCTTTAAGGCTGAGATGAGTAGCAGTAGTTCTAACCTGTTGTAAAGGAGGATGTCAGGGGTCCAGATCTGGTCTGAAGGGAATCGCAGGTTCTGGACGCCAGGGTAGTTTTCTGGATTCCAGCTCAGGTAGATATCGGTCCAGTACTGAGAAAAAAAGAGAGATTTTCACTAAAGACTTTGAGATGACATTACATTCTTTTACAATGGGTGCAATAAGTCTCATCCTCTGCAAAACAAAACCCATAATGTCCAATGACTAGCTGAACTAATTGAATCTATTGAACTCTTACAAGAAAATGGCCTATTCAATAGAAATGAGAAGGGCTGCATCCTGCTGCAGGAAGAAAATGAAAATGGAGGGGTAAAATGATCCTTGTAGTACTGTTTTCTAAAATTAAACAGCAATTCTGAGGTTATCAAGGAAAGAAAGTAAAGGTCATTCCTGAAAATGTGTTTCTAACCACGCAGGCATAACCAATGGGTTCAAAAATGCAACAGTCTATAACCATTTTCAGTCAAACAGCTACATTCAGTGTAAAACTGCTGCTGTGGATTTCATGCACTCACTCTCTTCTTTTAACTCTTTCATTTGAATCCTGGACAGAAACACCTTAACGATGACATCACTATAGAACAATGAGCTAAAGATGGTTCTTCCGCCTGGTTCATGAAAACTGTGTCTTTGTTTAAAAACCTAGCACTGACACATGGGCTAATTGGGCTTGAGGCTGTGAATCTGAATTTTTTGTCCTTTGGCATTAAGTCCATTAACAATCAAATTGACAGCCACTTAATATGCTGCACTCTTCCTCCCTTTTCTTCGTCCTCCATCCCTCATCCCACTCTCTGCTTGACAATCTGCCTGAAGTGATGTTTTCTTGAGTATGCTGATGCCAGCACTGAACATGCATACACAACATCACTGCCCCTCTCTCTTATTCTCTCTCTCGCTCTCTCTCTCTCTCACACACACACACACACACACACACACACACACACACACACACACTTTCTTTAAATTCATTATCATCAACAAGTACTTATTGTAGTGGCACTAGTAAATTGAGAAACACAGCCACAATATCTTTAGATGATAACTGTGTAATAAAATCATAAATATAATCAAAGCATATTAAATTGGGGATAATGTGCCCTTCTCAAACTTGACTCACCAGCTGCAGCCAGGCATTGGTCATCAGCACTTGGTTCTTCTCATCCTGAAGACAGAAACAGAAAAATAGGAAGTGAAAATGAGAAAAGAAATGTTCTTTTGTATAAAAGAACCCAACCAGATAAATCCATATTTAATAGAGTGGAGAAAGGCTTTGTCATCTGCAAGTCCAGTTGTTTTGCATATCCAAAGGAGAACAAACCAGGCTATCCAAAACTGTGAAAGCTGGTTTTATGTAACCAAGTGTAGTTCTGTTGAACGGTTTCACAGTGGAGCCATCTAACAATATACACAGCCCTTTTACAACAACTAAAATACTATAGGTCCCATTGGATTTAAACATTGCCGTTGAACAGCATAATGTCATGGTGGTCCCAATAAACAATGGGACAAATGTAATCATATTAACACAGAGCATTTGTCCAAAATAAAGATAATAAAGCTAAAAATATAAATAAATGGAAACAACGCAGATCGAAGCCACTATCTTTACCAAATAAAGAACGAACTTCAAAAATGTTTTCAAGGTGCATATAGCATTTGGGAAATTATGCTGCTCATATTCTAGCTGGAAGGTGAAATTAACATTTCTGCAAGCATCACAGTTTCTCTGCTCCCAGTGCACAGTGGAAAAGTCAGGAGAGCAGGAATGCCTGCATGGATTCTTTGGTTGAAAGGCGAGTAAGGCTGAATGGGATCAAAGAAGTTTCCCTTTTTTCAACACACTGCATCAGTTTATCCATTTATCTCTCTCTCTCTTTCTCTTTCTTTGTCACTTTTCTGACTTGGAAATGCGGGCACATATGGCAAACCCCTCTACATTGTCTTTTCTGGAAGCAGATGACCCAGATGATGGAGCAAAAGTCACAGCTGGAAGTAATGATTGGAAATGTGTGTCTCTCCAGAGATTTCAAATCCCCCATTGGTTAGTGTGTGTGTGTGTGTGTGTGTGTGTGTGTGTGTGTGTGTGTGTGTGTGTGTGTGTGTGTGTGTGTGTGTGTGTGTGTGTGTGCTTATGTGTTACCATTTTGATGAAGTGATGAAAATAGAATTGTGGGTCATGTAAAATTTATAACCAGAAAATATTAACTTCACTCACTTATTCAAGGTCAGAATGCCAGAATGCCTGCAGCCATATGTGAATAATAGAGCATATAGAGCATATACACAATAAACACACTGACACAGGCTTAACTTTTCTTAATCTACTTGAAGTAAAATATTTATTGTCATCCTCCCATTAAAAGGTCAATCTTGTAACTCTTGTATACTAATATTGATGTATGAAATTGTTAGATGTGACCAAAGGATGTGACTAATCATCTCTGTGTTTTCTGGTAACATGTATTTGATTGGTATCTGTGGGGGAGAGGCTCACAGGCTCATATACTAAAGTAAAACTAGTATGAAATGTATAAAAATCCAAAACTTTGAAAGGCTAACTACACTGCCAAAATACCCAGACTAAAGAGAAACAAAAGTAAATTGAAACTGAAAAATGCATCCATGCAGTCCCCTCTGCAAGTCATCAAATTAACACACAAAAATCTGCTTAGTATTTATCTCCATAATATGTCGACTGATTAACTTTGTCTTTTCTTACTAATTTGTTTTGCCACAGTAGTGTTCCCATGACAAGTCAACAGTAAAATTAAAGTATGCCTGCACACCTCTGGGTCTCAATTACTGCTACACAATTCGAATCAATCTCACACACTGACACAAGCTATTCTCAGTTTTTAGATAAACATCTTTCTATTTTATTTTTATTTTATTTATGGGGTGACAGATCTTTTATGTGGATTGAAATTTGTCTGGCCAGGTTGAATGGGCAAATGTACCCACTCCAGAAATCTTATTCACCATATATAAGCATCCAAACTGCTGGCTGGGCTGAATCCCACCTAAGCGTTACTGCCATCAAAGTGTCAGTGTGACAGTAAGATTACTCCCCACCGTTTTTCCCAGCCCTTCAGGGGATATACAGACAGCTTCTGTCCCATCCTCCTTTTACAGTCTAATGGCCACATAACCACAGTGTGTAAATTGGGTTACTTGTTCCAGTTGACTCTGTTAGGAACTCTAGAGTATGTGAGTTAACATTCATCAATCCACCACTGTCAGACAGACTAGACAACAACAACTACCAAGAACAAGGACTAACAATCCTAAAATTTCCCCGCTGTAAAAAGCACAAGGTCCTGTGTGATGAAGACACACACAAACTGCTGTATCTGTCTTTTCTGACAAATGAAAACTGACATCTGGCTGGTATGATACTCACTTTATGGTATTTAACAAGCTAACACTTCCCTAAACTGCCTTCTGTCTCTGTAGGCTGACAGACAAAAGTTCATACAGCATGCAGAGTGTCTCGAAGGTTTTAGGTTCTCTCTGGTGGGTAATGAGTCGAGGCTTCATTTGAAGGCCCACTGCTATTCTGAGAACAATTTTTACAGTTTGAAAAGTCATTAAAGAGGGTAGACCTGGACTGATTTCTTTTTGGGTCACGGGCCGGAGGGCAGAGAAAGAAATGGTGATTTTCATAAATTGGGAATGTGTCAGCGATGTCAAACTCAGGTAGACACAAAACACTGACAGGACAGTGGCTCTTGAGGAACGTTTGACTCTGATCTCTAATCTACAGACCGGACAACATGAGAAAATATGGATGGGGGAAGTAAATAAGCAAAGCTAACCCGTTCCTTTGGCAACTGCTCCTGAGGACCAAAACACTTAAACTGCCTTAGTTAGTGGAACTGCCAAAAAATATAGATTCATACAGAAACAATAAAACATTAAAGTCAATAACCTAAAACCTACAAAGTGTCAGTTAAAGTAAAGAACATTGAATGAGGATTTTAGAGTCCTCAAAATGTGTATGTGTGTGTGTGTGTGTGTGTGTGTGTGTGTGTGTGTTCCGATGCATGTGGCAGGAATTATTATGTGTCCCAGTCCAGAAGGTCTTTATGTAATAGAAGTCAAACAGCAGAAGTGCATTACTTCCGCCAACATTTAACACTGTTTCATAAGCACAAACCTGCTGCTGGATCTTTCACTTAATTCAATGGGCACCAACAGCTGCAACAACTCTCTCTCAGAAAACACACTATTACAGTAATATGAATAGTCCAGAATGCTGCAGCCTGTCTGGTCATCGATCAGCCTAAAAGGGCACTTGTCACACCACTACTCATCGACCTACGCTGGCTACCCATGGCCGCCCAAATCAAATTCAAGTCACTAATGCTTGTGTACAGAGGGATTTCGAGGTCTTCACCCATCTACTTGAACTCAATTGTACAGGCTTATGCTCTTTCTCGGTCACTACGTTCCTCTGAGGAATGTCGTCTGGCGTTGTTTATGTGACTGCATGTAAGGCAGTCGCAGTCCAGACTGTTCTCATCTGCGGTTCCCCGATGGTGCAACAAGCTACCAAATCCTATCAGAGCAGTCGTCCCTCTCTATCTTCAACAGTCTCTTGAAGACCCAACTATTCTGAGAGCGTCTCTTCTCCTAACATCTCTAACACCCTATCAAGCCTTACTAGTATTCCTATGCACTTTCACTGCACTTCTCTACCTGATCTCCTTGCGCTTGTTGAGTAGATGTAGTGCTTAGTACTTACACTGAGGTCTCCTACTGCACTGATGATTTAGTGTTGTCGCTTTGGATAAAAGCGTCTACCGAATGTGTAAATGTAATGTAATAGTGCCTGACAGCCACAAACGTAAAAACAAATATGCAGGTTGCTCAGACATAAGACGTATTTCGAGGGCATTGCTCTCTTTACACATAATACTGCTCTGTTTTCTCTGAGAACATTCCATTGCTGTTTAATCACGTCTATAATAAGCAGCTTAATTCCTCAAAGGTAAAATTATGCAAAAGTCAGCAGCACAGGAGGAATCCCACTTTCCATTAAACCACACACCGTATTACATGCCCAACATAATACAAACCACATATCCTGCGACCTACCTACATCTCTGCACCACTACAAACTCAACACCCAGCCACACACACACATACACACACACACACACGAACAAAACAAAAAAAAGTTTCTCCCTCACCACGTCGATGATCTGCAGTAGTGTGAGGCCCAGCTCCACCAAGATGGCAGCTGAGTCATTGACCACAGGTCTCTCCAGCCTGTTGTAGTTAGCCAGCAGCTCTTTGTACAGCCTCCTCTGGTGTTCCCCCTGCAGGGATCCTGGAGACACAACAGGAGCAAGAGAAAAGATGGTTTGCATGATGAATATTCTGAATACAAAGCATTGTCCACTCTGTACTAAAAGTTATTCCAAACAAACCATCAATATTTGAGCATTTTAGTTCATTGTTGACCTTAGGTAACGGCTTGTGTGGCAAAATAATTTCAGCTCAAAGGACCTGACTCTGATAAAGCTGATAAAGGTTTGTCACACATGACCACAAGCAGCTTGCACATAATTCAGAGTTGAAGGTGGAGCCCCCCCCCAGTCACAACAGATTTCTGAAGGTCTCTCCTTGATTTATATACACAGGGTGTTTGCATTTGTGAACCATAAATCTAGTGCTGGAACAACAATTCCAGAAAAGGAATTTTTTTAAAGCAAAAAAAAATTGGCTTGAGCTATGGGAACATATCCTTGTGTACCGAGGCTGATTTCTAATCCAGAAAGTAGCTTTAATGGTTTTCATAACCTTTGTCCCTTCCTTTTCTGGCAGCAGGCTGCAGCCAGATTATAATTTACCCAGTGGAAATTCAAACACACTGCCATATACTGTACCTATTGAGACTACACAGTTTGAGCAAAGATGTCCCTGATTCCTGCACCACATCCTGTAAAGCTGCGTTTGGTATGAACAATGTATAAGAGGCAGGTCTGTTGTACAGCTGAAAGTTTTGATGAATAATGAATAAATAAGCACAAGTGCTGACATCTGCATATACATCAGCAGACTGTAACACACATACACGCAGTGGCAGGAATGTGAGGTGGTGTAGACTTCGGGTCCAGGGTGATTAGGATGATGTGTTTGTTGGCCCGACTCTCATCAGCATTATTGATCCTCTTTACCTAACCTTTCACACACATTTAGCACTATCCCATTTCTCCCAAAAAATAAAGGGAGAGAGTGACACACAAACACGTTCTCACACACACACACACACACATACACAGTCAGACCACGCTGTTAATGCCCTTGGAGTCACTGATCTCACTCTCAGCAGGTGCTACATCTCAAGTACTGCATTTGTGCACGCGGAGGTGAATAGAGATGAATTATTTTTCAGACTGGTATTGAAAATCCACTACAATGACAAACATGACATTTCAACAGCAAACTGAAGATGAGCAGAAGACAAATCAGTGTGAATATAGTCTGCCTTTGCAAAAAAGAAAGGCAGAAGCTGAGAAAAACAGCCTTCTTTTGCACTCAATGACATGTTTTACACCACCCGAGGTTTGTTTTTTTTAATGCAGTACATAAACAACCTGCCACTGATAGGCAGATAGAAAATGTGCTGAGCAGGTAACCCCCATGAACAGATAGCATAATGACTCCCTCGTATAAAAATACAGTGGACAAATATATAAAAAAAAAAGAAAAAAAGATTGAAGACAGAAATGAAACAAGGAGAGAGGATTACGGCGAAGGAGGGGAGCCAGCTCTACAGATCTGTAAAGCTGTGAAAGAGAAAGGAGAGGAGTGTGCCTTTGGCCCAGCACAGTGCTGATTGGCCCATTAAGGCTGTAATGAGGAGAGTTATGGCAGGACTGAGTCTGAGGTCAGAGACAGACGAGCTGCAAGAAGCTGCTCAGCACAGCAGAAACCTTTTCACTGCTCCTTAGGAGCCACACAGACTCTGATTAATACACCAGACCTTATCCTCTCAATCCATGCATCCATCTGTCCAGGTTCCACATCTTCTCGTGGAAGTTGGATTGGTGGATCCCTGGCTTCCCACAGGCACACATTCAAACACATTCACCCCCACAGAGATAGATTTAGACACATTTTTATGCCTTATTCTTTATCTGTCTCTTTCACTGTAAACATGTTTGAATGGACACCCAGGCAAGCGCTTTGATGGCTGTTCTGCTCATGAGTTCTGCAAAAACAAAAACACAATCTCAATAATTCAATACAAACCTGCACAAAGTTATAAATCTGTCTATCTATGCACAATACGTTTTGCATAAGCACTTGCACACATATTTAAATACAGCTTCATCTAGAGCCATTATCCTGTCCACACACCCCCACACACACACACCCCCACCCATCTCCCCTGTGTTTTATTACAGTGAAATGTGAACTGAGGTCCTAACCGACATAACAAAACTAATGAAGTCAGTGAAGAAGAATTGAAAGCTCAGTCTCCATTGCAGCTTGTCTCATATAACCATGTTTACAAGGAATTAAGTAATGAAATAAAATAAACCACTGTGCCAACAGCTTTAATTCGAAAACAAATGCAGTGTGCACATGTGTATGCTATTGTGCAGCGTGCACTAGGGATGAAGGGATAGATCCATATATTGGTTTTATTTGTTTGTTTGCTTTGTTTATATTTTTTAAATTATTTCACGGATGAATCTGATATGAGAAGGTGAGGAAGGTAGATAGAGGGAACGGGGGAGCTGGAAGGTTTGTTGTTTGTTCAGCACCCTCCCCGTTCTCAACCCTTGTCCTTTTCCTTTGAAAGCATGATGGTGTTGCTCAGAGCAAAGATGAAAGAAAGTCAATTATCAATAAGACTTAAAAGTCTCATTTATTCTCATGTTAACTTTGAATCAAATATATCTTTTGTTTTAGATGGATTTATCTGATGTTCTCTTGTCAAGATAAAGGTATGTGTTGCACAAAATGTAAGTGAGAACAGGATAAAGAAAGATACAATATGTAATATTTAAAAAAAGGACTGCCAAGGAATAACATTAGAAAAAAACTTTTCAAAGACGCATTCCACCTTTAACCCGGTGACCTTTTTTCCACAAAACTAGAGGACGATCTGTATTCTCCAATAGATGTCACTTTAAGAGGTTTGACCTTCTTGTGTCCGTCATATAAATTCCACAAACACACAACCTTAACTACTATCAACCTTACTTCCCTGCTAAAGAGAAGAAAATGAGTGCACCCTGGTGGGTATATCAATTGAGTATGCGTGTGTGTGTGTGTGTGTGTGTGTGTGTACTTGCTAAACAGTCATTCTAATGATAAGCAACTACAGGAGATCAATACTGGATCGCTGTAACACCATGTGGGTCATTACAGGAAATGTCAGGGGTCACCATTATGCCCTGTTCAGGTCGAAGAGAAGGTCACTGATTAGTGACCTTATCCAAATAATCAATTGTCAGTACAACACATATCATAATAGATTAAAGCTAAACTATTTTAAGGTATTATCATTAGAAGGTCAGGAAACAATCGTCTTTACCAGGGAACCAAGCTTCAAGCCAAAATGTTACTGAATGTCAAACCTGAAGTGTCATCGAAAAATGCAGTGAAATGACTTCTCCTGCACCCTCCAGAAATGTCACCATTGTGTCCAATGAATACAACCCGACAGACCACACACTGCTGCGGAGCTGCCCAGTCCTCGGCAGCAAAGATGTGTACAGAGCTGTGTGACTGTGTGTGTGTGTGTGGGGGGGGGGGGGGGGGGGGCTGCCTAACTTCAGTCAGAGGCACTTACATCAAGGAACTGACCGTTCATTGTAAATGGTTATATAGTTTGATTTGGCAGCAAAGGCCCCCTCAAAAGAGCATGAATTCCACCCTTGATAAACACACACTTAGATCTTGGTTGAATCAAAAACACCAAAAAATGTAGCACATCATGCAGAGGGAGATACTAACTAATACTAATACTCTTTTGATCAAAGCATTCCTGAAATTAACAGTTACCTGCAAATAATTAAAAGTGACAGATGTAGCAGCAAACTTCTTCTTTACATCAATTTTTTTTCACAAGTCACTGAGAAGGTCACCTCTTTTTTCAACATTCTTCCCTTAAACTTTAAGGATGACCGAATGCCTGAAATGCCCAAAAGAATCATGTCACATTTCAGGTCACATTTTACCACAGTTTTGCAGATTGTACATGGTGCTCAACTGTCTGCACTCAAACATTGTACTGAAACTTGCACAACTGTATTCAATTATAGATTTTATATATTAAAATTGTAATAAAAGTAGTAACAAATATATTTCTATGTAAATTGTTGATTTTTGTTGTCTTACAAGAGGGAACAGTATGATTCAAAGCAGAAAACCAGGGAAGTAAAAAAACGTAATATCCCAAAACCACTCAGACTGGTAGAGCCTTTTAATTTCAAAGTCACAATGAGCCATAGGATTTTGATTCACACACATACACATAGTTTACATTCCTATATTACCAGCAGTGGACTGTCAGGATATGATGATCAAGTGTGAACCACTATTTCTGGTCATCTAGAAAACACAAGGATGAACAAGAAGATTTTTGTCTTTTTTCATAACATAAGTGTAAAACTGCTTTTTAATTTTTTTTCTTCAAAAAATTGCCCAGAGGAGACTTGCAACCCTGCCTGATGTATTCCTATCAAAACACACACACACACACGCACACACATTTAGAAGTCACCGTTGCCTCTCTTTGCCTCGTCTGTGCTCATTTGCATTTCAAACGTAGAAGAAACAGGTAACACGCGTCTTTGACACTCTTTCAGTGTGTGTTAAAACCTTGTACACTGATGTGTGCAAGTTAACCTAACTTCACTGATACAGCACACTGAAGTTGCCCCTGAGCTCCAGGATGTCTGCATAAAGAATTAGTTCTAGTTTAATAAGCAGAGCCAGACTGCTTCTGGGCACCTCAGGGACCCAGAGGGCCTCAGCACCCAAGGGGACCTTTTATTTCAGCTCGGCAGCACCCCTAAAAATATTAATACATTTCACACATTCACAAGGTCTCCTTAGAGACAAAGACAATTTTCTGTGTGTTTGCTTCCTCAACATTTATTAGAAGAATATTGGACGTGAGAGTTATCCTGCAGATTATTGTGAAAGAGAATCAAGAGGAAATTTAGAATGTGAGACACAAAGAGATGTAAATTTGGTCTGTATATCTTTATGCATTATGCTTTGCGCCCTGTGGTGGTAAGACAACTTGTCCAAGAATGTGTCACCCTGCCTTTCAGTCAGTTTATACTGGGACAGGCTCCAGCCCCT